GTGTGAACTACAATATACTGGAAGACTTGCTAACTTATTTGAGCTATAGTTTAATTTTTCCTTTTAGAATTTCCCCCACCTAAATATAAGAAAAAGGGTAAAAAACTCCAATAAACTCTGTTTAGAAAGCTTTTTCTGGTTTATTTGACAATCAAGGTGGCTAATAGTTCTTGAATCTACCTTTCTTCATATTCTTATCCTATTAATACATTTCTATGCATCACCACCTATTTTGCTTCCATCTGTGTTCTGATAATGTTCTCTTTTTAATTCTATTTCCACCATTATCGAAACTGTTCCAAAGCTGTTCCTTGATAAGAATTTTTTTATACAAGCACAGCATATATTACAGCATAGATGAAGTTAAATTTATGACAAGTTGTCTCCAAGAAAATTCTTGCTTGCCTGAAGTTGTGTGAACCTTACAATTTTAGGGGAACACCAGCAGTTTTGAGTAAGTGGAGCATACAGAAGTACACATATAATTACATAATTCATAACCTAAACTCAACAAGATTTTTGCAATAATGGCATAAACCTTAAATCCTCCCTTTTTCATGAAAGAAGAGTGGAAGAAGAGGTCTGAACCTTGGCCTGCCATGTCTCTGGACAAGAATGGAAACAGAATACATTAGCTAGGACACGCTGAAGAGAATTAATGTAAGGAAATCTTGGGTACCTACAAGTAAGATGTCTACTCCTAGCACATAATTTAGATTTTTCTCTGTAGCTGATAGAGATAGGCACCCCTATATAGTAACTTATCACACTTTGGGCACTTCTTTTAGGATGACATTAATGGCTCTCTTTTGCTTGTTGCTTGCTGCTGACTGTGAGAAAGGCCCAGAAGAGCTTGTGGCTTCCTGGTGAAGACCAGATGAGATAAAGCCTCTGGAAGGTCATTTCCTATGGCTAGGCCAAAGTATGATGACAAAATAAAGCCACATGCTGTGGCTCTTATCCTATACAAGGTCCACTTTAAACCATCTCTTAAACTACCACAAAGGTTAGCTTTAGCATTGTTTAATTCAATATATTTTACTTTAAAATTGGAGAAGATTCAGCTAATCTGTAGTGACTTGCTAACCTGAGTTAGGTGTTTTGGACTGTATGGACATAATCACTTTTTTTATGTTAAAAATATTTGTTTTCCCCTAAGGTTGGTTTGCCTCTGTTGAAATAGGTCTCATTTTCTAGATCATTTAAAAATTTGACATATTAGAAGGAAATTAGATTATTATCAGCAGGCATTAACTTGTGTTCAACATGTTGCAGCTGGAGTTCAGGGTACCCAAGAGAAACAGAGCTGAGCCTCCACTATAATTTGTCAAGAATCCCTATGGTAGGAAGAGTTCAGTCTGCAATTTTTAAGCAAAATTAAGAAGACAGATGATTAATGTGAGCTAGTTTCTGGGCATAGGGGACTATTAAAAAAAGATAAAACCAGTCTTGGGTAAACATATTATTTTTATATACACGTTACATACAGCATTCTTTTTTTTCAAAACTTGGGTCTACATTTTGGTCATTTCTTACCGAGTTTCCTAATCTTTTAAGCTTAAATTAAGATCTGTATAGCACTAATGTTAATTGTGTACATCACTAATGTTAGTATCTAGATCATCTTTGAAAAAAGTCCACCACAGAGTGAAAGCAGCAGGACACAGACATTTCCTAGAACTATATACGCTGGGATGGACTTGTTCACAAATAAATAATCTTTCTTCCTCAGGCAGATGTTTTCTGCATGGCTTTCCATTTTTGCAACAGTAAGTTCTGTACATCTTTTCACATTTCTTTGGAATTATAAAGGTGAAGGACTGAGACATACTCGTAACAATCAAATCATCACAACAAAGTATTTAAAAAGGTCAAGTAAAATGTTTAGATGTGCTGGCCAATGACCTAAATCACTCACCAAAGAGTTCACAACAAGAAAATAGTTCGTTACTATATAGCCACAGCCAATTGCTCACAATTTTAATGAAAAATTAGGCTTTGGAATTGTTTAGTCAGCTGTGTTGCAAGAAAACTGGAAAAAAACCCAACAGAATCTGCAATGAGTAACTAAAACATGTATTTTTAGTGCTGGACATATCTTAAAACTTGCAAAATGTTTGTTATTTTAAAGAGAATTAAGATTTAACAAAAATTGTGATAGTACGCCAGCTGTATTTTAAAATGGTTTAGGCACATATGTATTGGGCATCTGTCATGTGTCTGTCAAAAAAGATGTAAGGCAGAAGAAACAGAAACAAGCAAACTTGAAATGTATGTTAAAATTTGCCACAAAGGACTGTGGGTGAATTAAAGCACTAACTTGCAACTGATTTTCTCATAAAATTAAAAGGTCAAAGCAGTTTGACCTGAACCCAAAGCTTAATTTAAATTGAGTTGCTGATTTATAACATTTATTTTCAAAAGTTCCAGGCAGAGGTGAGATGTAGAATTTCTATGGAAACCTTTTGTTGTACCTAACAAGATATTGACTGCTATCATCCAAGGACACATCAAGGTATAGGCCGTCATTGATCCAATATAGCTTTGGTTTTCCATTATAAAAGGTTTCCTTTCATTAGAGTTTTAAAGGATCTAGTGTGAGAAAGTAAAGACCCTGTATTCGTGACCTGAAATAATCTACTCTTCATGAAAGGCTGACAAATCATAGAGAATCAAAGAACACGCCTGTGGCTGCAGGTTTTATCTGAGCCTAATCTAGGGGTCACTGGAAAATTCAATGCATAATTGAAGACTCATCAAAAAGAACTTCTCAGATTAAAAGCTACGTTTACTGTGTGAATGAGAAATCCCGGTGTGTTGCTTTGCTTCTGTGTTGTTTGAAGTCAGTTTCTTTTTTTTTTTTTTTAAATATCAAGAATAAAAGAAACAGCTCAAGGAAAATGAATAATCACATTAGGTGTTGGTTTGTCCTTCTAAAATGCAGCAGCTTTCTCCATGGAAATGGACTTTCTATATTTAAGTGATGCCACAAACTGTACCACCTCAGTATATGAAGTAGACCACAGGCATCCCCCACTTGTGCTAGTATTCAAGATTTTGTTTGCTTTCATGGGATTTTTCTTTTCAGATCTCATGTGCAGAGCAGACATGAAATGGGAGAGTGAAATGCTGACTGCTTTGACTTCTCTATTAATCTTTAAGAGCAGAGAAGCACTTTTCACAACAAAACAAAGAACAATTTTATTTTGGGAAGAATAAGAGAAAGAAAGGTTCAGGGACATCCTTGTAGACAGAATTCCTAGAAGTACCGCCCTGAGTTTACAGATGACTTTATTCCAAGGGATCATTTGTGTATCAAAGCCATGTCAAACAACACCACTGTCAATAAAAGGATATCTCAATGCCCAGCACAGCATGTGATCAGATACTCTGTGGTTAGTGACAGCAAAGTGACAGAGGAGTAACTGACAAGGAAGGGGATGGCAACTGCCTCCTATGGAGTGAGCAGATCTCTGATTTGAGGGAAGGAGAAAACAATGGCTGAATATTACAGAAAAACAAATTACAGGAAAACAGACCAAAATGCTATGTGGCTTCTGCTCAATGTGTTTTTTCAAAATGTGAGTAATTCTCTGTGAGGGCCCAGAGAGACCACTATGCTGCAGCTGTCCTGATGCACTGCAAGTGGGACTACACATAAACTCAGGATGAAACCTAAACTATGTTCTAGGTGAATCTGTATTCAGTCCAGTCTCTGATCTTGCCTCCTGGACCAACTTTGGATCTATGCTGAAGGTAGCCTGCCTCTAAAATCCTGTCCATGGGCGATGTTTCTTTGGATGGACCTTGAAGCTGTTACCTCTGGCCTCATCTCCTTTTGCTGATGACCAGACTCCCAGTTATGCACCTGGTTTATCACCTCACCTTCTCTAGGACTGCTGATGGGAGATGCTTTCTTTGGTCTTTGGCTGTGCTTTGGTCCTTTGCTGTGCCTAGCCTGCTCCCTCACAGCTCCCAGTCTTGTGTTGTTGACCTGGCTTCCTGCCTTGACCCTGAGCCTGCCTCACCACTGCAAACTCAAATGATGGTCACTAGATTGCAGCTGATCCCAGCTGCTGCCCTTGAGCTTCTGGATTCATGCTATGCCCTGCCTGTGCCAGCTGCCACACTTGTCTGCTGGTTCCTCTGCTGCTGAGGATAGCGTGGTGCTCCCTGCCCAGAGGAAAGGCAATCAAAGACAATAATATTCCCCTTTCTATCAATGGAAATATCATTATTTCAATTTGCTCAGCAAATCATCCTCCGCTTTGGTAGACCATTCTGAAGCCCTCAGAAATCAAACCAAATCTTTCACTCTTTCTCTCTACATCAGCAATGAATACAGACACAGCCTACATCTAATAACACAGTCCTATTCTAACTAACAGCAAAGTTCTCATCAGCTTCAAAAGGGAGAAGGAACTAATCTCAGGTCTTGGTCCTTGAACCCACAAAGAAGATGACAGAAGTAGCTCCTTGCAGAGCCTCATTTAACAAAGGCCTTTACAAGTAGGATAAAGTGATCTTATTAACTTGCACAGGGGATGTGCAAGGAGAAATACAGGATCTCTGCTAGTACAGAGACACAGATATAATATAGATATGTTTATTAACAAAATGTCATGTAAAAACTCACCACTATGAGTGAATTTATAGCAATATTATTTGGAACTAGCATCATATCTGCTCTTAATATACTTAATATTGTATTATTATAATATGGTTAATAACTGTGTTAATACAGTTTAAAATTTACATAACATGTCCATATTTGGAAGTTCATTAACTTTGCTCTTTTATTAAAGAGTAATAACGTTATAAATGTTTAACTTACTAAACAGTTGCTAAGCTTATTTGTCCTGCTGCTCTTCCACACAAATGTGGAAGGCAGAAGTCCATTGGGAGACTGGTAACTATTTCTACAATCTGATTTTGATAAATGTTCGGTGTGGTATAATTTGGCAAGCTACTGACATTGTTTACAGAAAATCATCTCTTACCTCTGTTATCTTTCAGGTGCAGTGCTATCTTGGTATCATCTACAAAGGAAATTCGAAGTTAGTTGTAGAAAAATGCATTTTTTCTAGGTCATGAGTGATTTTAGGAATGACTTTCCAATGTCAAGGAAATTCCACAATTAGAAAATTATTTGGTACTTAACTCAATGGGAATTAGATTGTGGTGTTCTTACTTACACTGAACAACACTTTACTTCCATACTACTAAAATAATGTTTATGAGAGTGTAAAGGAGGATTCAAAATACTGGTAAATAAGAGTCTGTCACATAACATAATTCATTTATGTTACATGTTCATACATATCTTGAGCATTCTACCACATTAAGAACTCTACGAAAAGATATATGACAACAAAATAAAACAATGACTTAGGTTCCTTTTAAGATTCATAAAAAAGTTTACCAGTTTTAAATCTTGTTTATTTCCATAGGTGTCTTCTTGTGAGCTTTAATGAACAAAATCACACAGAGCAATGCTGCTAATACTGAATAAATCCTGCACTAACAGTTTCTAGATTTCTTTTCGTGGAAACAAAACTAGTCTTTCTTATCAGTAGATTTTCATTCTGAAATGCCTTCAACTCATATTTTTTGTCACAGGCCACTTAAAAAATCTGCCTGTATCCAGTACCTTTTCTTGTATTAACATACAATTCCAACAGAAAACTTCTTTCCCCACCCCTCCAATAGATGCTATGTGATGAATCTGAGGTAGCTGTTCTGTCAAGCTGAATTTTGTCCAGAAGCCGGAGAGCAGGATTTCTCAGCCACAGAAAGGGAAGATTTAAGCATCCAGTGCAGCAAGGGTGAGAACTGACACATCACCACTTACCCAGTTAGTTCAGAAGCCTATAGAAACTATTTCAACAGTGAGCACTACATGAAAAGAACAGTGTCAACTGACTGAAAAAAAGTAAACAAACAAATTTCAAAGAGGCTTTTAATTTGGGTTATCTCTAATTTTCACCTGGCTAAATAGGATACCTAAAGGGATTAAAAATTGATGAAGTCTATGATGAGAGTTTCTTGACTAACTTTAGCAGGGCCCTCTTCTTCTACTATTTGAACAGGTTTTTGACTACGGCCTGATGGGCAAAGGAACAAGAAAAACAGAATAATCCCATATTCTCCAAAAATCTGCCTGGCTTGTCTGTGGTTCTCCAGCATCACTCACTCCTCCTCTTTGCACCTTACTGTTGCAAGAGTTGAGTTACTATTTAAAAGTTGTAGCAGATATTGCCTTGACTGCACTTCCCCACTCCTTCCACCGCCCCAAAGAGAAGTCCACAGGAACATACACATTAAAGGAAATACACTTCTTTTAGATTTGTAAAAGGCACTATAGAATAATGCAGTGTATACACTTCACCTTCTGTAGGCAGACTAGTTGGCAGGTGGGAAGTTATGAATCCTTTGGTAGTTGTTAAAACTCTGAACTTTGTGGTGGTTGGCAGAAAAGTGGTGGAAGAGTATGGAGGCGTTTCAGTTGTGTCTATATTCTTCTCACAAATCTTATCTTTTGACTGTTGGGAAACAACAAAAACAAAGAACAGAAAATTGATTCTCAGTGGACACAGTTATTGAATGAAGAATTTAAGCATGAAAATGCTGTCAGGATAAAAAGAATGAAAATGGAAACACTAAGTCAAGGAATTTCAAGAGCTTTTTCTTTGAAGTGCTCGACACAGCAATATATATTTTCCATTTAGCTACCAAAGTTACAACTCTCAGTTGCTAACAACAAAACTTCAAAGTCATCCCTGAATATCAAACATCTCATTTCCCCAAATCAGACTTTAACATCTAAGACTATCTTTCAAATTTTCACTATTCTGTTGTGAATACTCCCTGCCACTGTGTGGGTGCCACAGCACATGCTAAAAAAGATAGTGGGAATTAAATTGTAGCTCTTCATAGTGAAAAATGTGTATTTAACTAGAAGCATTTAATTGGGCTTTACATGTGTTATCACAGAAGAGTAAGTAATATATTTATAAGATGTGTGCATGTATTCAGCCTATAGAATATTTATATACCACACTATAGAGCAACACATTCACTATATGGCTATTAATTCTACATAATATTAAATTTTTGTGTATTATATGTGTATATAACAATTATTATATAAAATATAAACTATTAAATGTAATAGACATAAAATGATTATATTATAGTATAGTATATTAGTACACCATAAATAATATTTGCCATTATATAATATTTTAACTTTTATTTTTGTAAGTAAATATTTTGATATAAAACTTCAGTCTTTAAAAAAAAAAATTCCTGGACACTTCTAAAATTCTGCATGAGTAATGCATATTTTCTTTTACAGATCACACAGGTTTCCAGGAAAATACATCCAATTAACTCTCTGCAAATACGGGATCTTCCTGTAATTCATACTGTGCCCATTCATTTTCATGAGAACTAGAATCCTGCAAAGGCTGTTCATTTTACTGAAATCTGTCTCTCCATATGAAGTGGATGTTGTCTTTCTTTTAATACGTATCAGTGTTTTATTGTCTTTTGTTTTACCAGAAACATTATATTACATTAAAAATGTATCAGTACCTGCAGTATAGTTATTCTTTACATTTCTTCATTTTTTAGCTTGAAAGCCAATGTTAATTTCACTGATGCAATTTAATTAAATTTTAGCAAATCTATATTACAAAGAAGAAAACATGACTATGAAAATCCTTATTATTCATACTCTTGAAGGAATGCATCTAAAATTAACCTCTGTGTGCTAATTACTGATCCTTCATTGAACTCCAGCAGCCAGTTCAAGCATCATCCTGGAAAATGTTAACTTAGACATTGCTTCTACTCCAGAGAGCCTGAAAGCTGGACTGTGAGCAGCAATCAAGTAGCCTGAAATAACGTAGCTCAAACTATTGGTTTCTCAGATACACTTAGTAGATCAACAATTTCCTCTCAGATCATGTACTAGGCCTTGGATCACTAGTTGTGTTGAAACAAGAAGGGAGAAACAGAATAGGATGCTACTGTCCTGCAGAGAGCAGTTTTTGGATAACTTCATCTACAGGCACAAATGAGTCCTAGCTGACTATAATCTGGATTAAAGCAAGACAAACATTGTACACTATAGAAACACATTCTTCCAGTAACTTTTATTTTATGGTCTTGAAGAGGTTGTCCTCCACAAACAATAACTATCACAAAAATGCCATTCTTAAATCAACAGATAATAAAATGTGAAGATGAAGGTTCAACGCCATGTAACAGCAGTATGAAGGATGCAGTTATTTTGCAACTACAGTTCTAAGAAAAATAAATTACTCCTTCAGACTAGAATTATATAATTACTACTCTTTGCTTCTACTGAGAATAAAACAGAATGTGTGTTTTTCTAATTAGACACTTGGGGCTACATTTTGCCCTCAGTTTCACCTGACATTACACTCCAGAACGGCTACGCTGCTAAAACTTATGACAGAATTTGGCCCTTTCTGCCAAAATGGAAAAAAAAAAAATTAATTTTTTAAATTTTTTTTTATATGGTTACCAGGAGATTAAAAAGTGTCATAAATTAATTTGTTCCTATTATCACAATCACAAAAACCTTCTAAAGGGAGGACACTGGGAAAGAAACACATTTATATATATGTCTTGATCTTCTCTAGTCCAGCAGTAACCTGTATATCTGAATACCTTTTTTAGAGGAGACATATGGTCTCTGTTTGACAGTCCACCACTACCATAGGCAGATAGCTTTCTTGTTCTCTCACTGCTTCTCCATGTAAGAAAATCCAAAGGCCTTGTAGTGGTCTTATTTTTTTGTGTTTTTAAAAACATTCTTCAAATTCATCTGTGTAATTTCTTCAGTACTAAATGATTTGGCCAGATTTCATAATCAAAACACAATGCCCACGTCTTTTGCTGACTGCATGCCCCAGTAGGAAGGGTGAGCCCATTAGCAGTGTCCATACAGGAAAGACTTTATCATCCCATTCCAGAATATTTACACACATAATCCTCCTCCTGTCCTGGTCTTGGTCCTGCCCTGCCATCACTGGGAACTCCACTTGTAGTGGACAGTCAGGAAACCATACATAGCAAATCAAGCACATAAGTAAACATCCCCCACCCACTGCAAGCAGAACCAGCTTTTAACACTAGAGGCAGGACATCCGATAGTGATTTCCTAATTGGTTTTCACTCAATTTTGGCCAGGCCTTGAGAGCAAACCAAGAGGAATCTCTCTCTTGCCTGGTTGTGGGCATCATCCATATGTCAACCTTGACTCAGGGTTTGGGGTTTAGATCCCAGCACTTCACCATGCTTCACTTGAGACTGCTCGAACAGAGGGTTTTCTGAGACAGGGAACATCATCATTTCTTCCTCTTTTCTGGCAAGAGTCAGAGATTTAAGAGAAAAACTCTGCAGGGACACAGTTTTGTGGCAAACTTTCTGTTACTTTTATTTCTTATCCAGAATGTCTTCTCAGAGATAAAATTTTTACTTTGTGTCCATTTTATTCCCTCAAATGGGGAATGAAATTGCTCAGCCTATTTTCCTTTATTATGCCTTACAGCATTTCTACTGAATGATAAAGATAAATACAGCATGTCTTTGGCCTTGAAACCATGTTGCATAATCTGAAGAATTTAATCAAAAGCATCATAAGTATATAAATGTCCTCTGATGGTTTGAGGATGTAAACTACTCACATACCTCTTCAGGGCAGCCACTGTCTACCCAGTCTTGACGGTGACGGTCAAATCCACTGGAGCATCTTTAGATGACGAAATCGATGTAAGACGTCCAGATGGAAATAGGAGGAAAACAAAACCAAGAAAGGAATGCAAAAGAAAAGAAGAGAATGACAGAGAATAAGTAAATTATGTGATTAAAAAGAAAAAATCTGTATCATTGATGTGGGATTACTTTCATTCAAGAGGCTGTTGCCTGCAATATGAGGCAACCATTTCATCCACTTCAATGAAACGTGTTTCAATGAATGAGATTTCTTTTTTTTTTTTTTTTTTTTTAAATATTTATAGTATTTAAATAGGAGTGTCTTCCACTGGATAATCATTCTTAAGACTGCACTGAGATGTAGCAATTTTATGTTTGATATCATCCATATGGTTGAAAATAGGTTTAATGATTTCTGCCCAGAATTCTTAGACAGGAAAATTTAATCCCACAAAGGATGTAGTGAACCAGACATTGCTTTTATCAGACAGGGAGATCTGAGACATCAAGATACACACATAACAATGCAATCAATGTTCACGGATTTAGACAGCAGCTCCTCTGAACAGCCTTCATCACAATTACAGAATACTGTGCAGCTGTTTCTGCCTCCTCCCTAGCTGCAGAAAACTTAAGTTGCACACATTTCTTATCAAATTAGGTGAGATAAATAACATGCTTGCAATATCCTTCCTCATTTGCAATAGGCAGCAAAGAAATTTTAAAGCAAGTTGTAATATTTTAATATAATGACTTCCCTGGCAATCCTCCTCTCACAAGGATGTTATCAGTGTTTATACAGTAACTTAGGGTTTCCTAGATAACGAGTAGCATTACAGACAGAAAGCATTATTAAAACAGCAAGCAAATAAATAAACCATGATGTCTGACTCTGAAAGATTCTCCCCTGCTAGGGTTTTTTGAATTTGTTTTGTGTTTTGGTTTTTTGCATTCATTTCCTGTAGAGTTTTGTTATGAGGCAGAATGACGTCGTTTGGCACTTATGGTCATAACTTACTTGACTGTACAGCAAATAACTTCCTCATTGTCTTTTAATAAGACTAGGCAAGCAAATAAAGCCACTGTTATGGATAGGTGTTTTTATGGGGTAATTTTTTGCTCTCCGTGAACAGAAAGATGCCAAGACCTGGCAAGTACTACTGTACTTCAACAGAGGTAAACAGGTGCACTTGGAAGAATGGAACAGTAGAATCATTTTTATAGTAGAAGATGATATTACGAGAGGATGTAAACAACGCTAACAAACAACACAGCTGGGATAATAAACTTCTCTATATAATTATTCTGAGCAGAATCTGCAACGTATTTGACAAAAGATTTGTTGACTCTCTTGTACTTGCAGATCCACATTCCTCCATTTGCTATGTTACTAAATAACCCAAAACACTCCAACTCTTACAGGTGTCAATTATCACTGACTCTATAAAAAACTTAATTTTCCAAAAACCTACTGCAGTGAAGAAAAAAGATGTCCAAACTAGAAATGTATTTTAGAGGAATACAGAGAACTAGTTCCCAGTGCATGGGAGTAAAGGTCCCCATAAAGACTTTTTCTTCTTGCTGAAAGGTGAGTGAATCAGTGCTATGCTGGGAGCTCAGTGCTGCCTCCCCATCTTTTGGGTGTTCTATCTCCATAAATGTTTGAGAGAACAAGTAGGACCCTGGTAAGCAGAAAGAAATGATGACATGACATTCCAGATATGAATAAAACATATTTTTTTTTCTGAAGTCTCAGTCTCTCTTACTTTTCCCTAAAGTTTGAAAACTTCATTAGCAACTTCTGTGCCCATCCTGAAGGAGAACTGGACTAATTTTCAGTTGTACTTAATATCCACAACACATTACATTTCAGTCGTACTCTTCTGGCTATATGCTAACATCTTTGAGGATACTCTCTGTATGTCTGAAAATCAAGCTCAATGTTTAGATGTGACATCAAGCCACTCCATAATTCCTACAATAAAGGTAATTACTGCAGTTACATACCCAGGCTAATTCAAACCAAATTGTTCTTAGACCTGGTATGGATTAATGATCTTTTATCTTATATTTTATCTTGTATCAAAATGCTGTCAAATTTAAAGCTTTGAATATTAAATGAATAAAAGCTAATCCTAGGTGCACTCATTTGTGGTTCTGAAGTCTTTTCTGACAAACTACTGAAACATGGTGGCAAGTAACCTGGCTGGGGTTGATTTTCCCCAGGAATTAACAGATAACCAAAAGTTAAATACAACATGCAAAGGCTTGGAACAGCTCTTTCATACATCTAAGACACTATTCAGATGACTCTGCCTTAAAGAAAAATACACTTCACCCTGGACGCTGTTGATTTAACGTTTTCTGTTGATGCAATGGCAAGTCCAAACAATATTATCAGAAAGCAGCTTTATCAGGCACTAGACAGGCTTCAAGCAAACCTGTTTGTGAATTTGCTTTGAGGTACATGTCAATGAGATGTAAGCCAGAGTGTGTACTATCATTGCTGCATCATAGCAGATGCTATCATTGTTCCATCACTGAGTTAGAATTCTGGGAACTGCCACTTCAATGCACTATCCACTCTGCATTTTTAAGACCGTCATCTAGTAGCATGGTGACAATTCCCTGTTGCCACTAAAACACTGGAGCAGATTTGATTAGGTATGCCATTTATGCCATCTGTCATCATGGTCATTTTATAACAACTTCAATTTCAATGACCAAAATCACCTCCTAGCAAAGCAATAACAATGTTCTAGGAAATGAGAATAGGGACATTCATGAAATGTAAGGAATTCCAAGATTTGTGTGCAACTCAGGAGTATTGGTTCAGGGAGCAAAGAGAGAATTAAATTCTCTGCATTTATAGCAATGATAATGTAGTATAACTAATACACTTGAGTCTGGGTAACATGAAAGATGTCAGAATCCTTTCAGTGAACTGTACATAAGCAGAAAGGAGATGGAGATGCCATCAGATATACCAGATGCTATTTACCTCTATTTGGCAGGGAATATTTAAATGACAAGAAGTGTTCATTCAGTGCACGAATTGAAATGCTTTGCTGCTTCTCTTTTAAGAGAGTTTAATGAGGATTAATGATAATAATAAATCAGATGCCCTGTTTACAGAAAATTCATCAAGGTTTAAACTGTAAAAGCTAAAAACATAATGGAAAGTTATTGAGATGGAAAGGGACAAAGTCTGGAAAAATCTATTCACCAGGTCAAGCTGGTTTAAAACAATAAAGAACATTAAAATGCACAACACGTGTCCTGTAAACTAACTATTCCCTAGCTTGTTTTGTTGTTTTGTTTTTGTTTATTTGTTTTTCCAGGATATCTGTAACAGCATATGAAGAATTAATTTCTGGGAACTGAAGGGCATTTCAGAAATCTGACATGATTTCTTAAATACCATGTAATTACTCAGCTTAGTTAAAATCTTTACTAATTCCTCTAAAAGGTTAACCTGAAAAAATAAATAGAAAATTGAACAGACAGAACCCTTTTCTCCCTTTCACCACTAAGGAAGGCCCATCACATTAGGAAAAGATTAAGACACTTGCTAGGTGTTTTGAATTACTAAAAAAGGAATTAAATCATCTTAAGGTGGAATTTCTTTCCAAGCTGAGATAGGAAGTAAAATATAAAAACAAATATGTGTGCATAAAAGTTATATTTTAAAAAATAAAAATACTGGAATTCTTGAACTTTCTTTTCTCTTCAGCTGAAAAAAAACCCTAACTAGAGAGCAATTTTTGGAGGAAGAAACCCACTACCTTTGTGCTCAGTCTGGCATTGCCTTCCTTTAGCACAGAACAGGCTGCATGTTGGTTCCCCCGTCCTTTGAATATCACTTTCTTGTCACACTGTGCTGTCTGGGAAAAGACTGCATTTGCCTCCCTTTGTTATTTTCCACTTTCCCTCATCACAAATGCAGAACTTTATCACAGATTGAAGCATTTATAAAGTTTATATGAAGTGTCACTGTGAGTGACTAGTATGAATTTATAAGGTATTTGAAAGGTATTTGTACTTATTATTTAGCTCAATACACCTAATCATATATCTGAATTCAAGCATAAATGTGTTGTCTCTATGTATCCTTTACTAAAATATATTGCTTATTTAAACTATACTTGAGAATAGGATGACAATTTGAATTATTGGATGAGGATTTGCTCCCACCTTGCTGTTATACAGTAAGAATACCTAAGAAGATTTACCTAACACAAGGATTTTAAACATACAGCACTACAAACAGTCTGTACTATTTTAACGCTTATGAAAAATTCAAATATTATTACTGAGGTATACTTAATACTTGATGCAGCCTATCTGTGTCTGCAGCACTGAAATCCACCATTGTCTTAACATTTCATAGTTCACAAAATTTCCAACATTCAAATGATGATAAGGAGGATCAGAGAGAGGCAAAAATTTCAGCAGGCAATCTTCATCCTGATGATGGTTCCACAATTTTATGTCACAGAAGGTTTGGAAAAAATACAGCTACATGATGTGTAAAGTATTTGTGCAATATCATGTAAACAGAGAAGTGAAAAGATGTTTAAAAATGGCTGTTATTTTTCAGTGAAAGAGACTGAACAGGAGTAAGACTGGGTATTTATAACTCCGACGCAACATGTGAATAGGCATTAGGAAATACAGACTTCTACAGGGAATTCTTGCTATTGGAAGAGCCTGAGAATAAAAGTGGGCCAAAAGAAGTAAGTTTTATTTCCAATTCAACTGGAAAGAAAGGAGAAAATCCTAGTTAAAGTGAGAATTACCAGAGTTCTGATTAAAGAATAGGAGGATATTTTCTATAATCTTAATGTCAGTTATAACGACAAAGGAAACATGCTGAAAAAGCAGAAAGAATAAAAAAGAAACTTTTGCTAAAGGCTCTGCTTTGAATAACCAGAAGGTAAAAGGAAGTGTAAGAGGAAGACCCTAGAGTAAAATTTATGAGATTATGGTATCAGAATTTCCACCAGAGTGAGCAAAAATAATAGCAATCAAACTTGT